ACTCCAAAGGGCAAACCACAGAAGAAGAGCACAAGAGCATGACATGTGGGGCCGGCCGGCCCCACATGCAGGCCGGTCGGCCTAGGGACCCGCTAGTCAGCCCCTGTTTTGTATGTTGGTTCTCCACCGCCTTGAAGATCACATCTACGTCGTTGTTTTAAGTCGGTTTGATCCGGGGATCTAGAATTGACGTCTCTCTCTATATATATAACAACCCCTATCCTCCTCCCTAAAGCCATCCTAAAACCCTAATTCATATCCTCCTCATCAAGATCAGAGCCAACTATCAAGAGAAGATTAGTCCTCCATAGGATCTAGTCTTGTAAACAAAAATAGTGAGATAGAGAGTGAGGAAAGAGTTTGGAGGATGTATCGGCCTGTCGGTGCTCTCTCTATGGCTTGTACCTTGGCAGATCCAAGTTCTACTTGAGCTTGCTTCTGAGATTTCTCTGGTAATCAACTTCTGATTCAAGTAAACATTTTGTTTATATTATTCATCAGGTTCGTGACTCTCTTTTGAGTACTTTAATCTATAAACGCTCTAGGTTAAAGTATTAATCGTAAGTATAAGCGTGGTGCTTAGACTTGGGTTAATCGTGGATGCACCCTGCATTCCAGACCGGTGGTAGATCATGAGTGTAGCTTTAGACCGCAAGTGTGACACACTCGTTGAGTCCTCTGTAGTCCACCTCCTATTTGTAGGCCAAGTAGGACCTGATTGCGACAAAAAGCATCCTCTGTTGGTGTCTTTCCTTAGTAATGTCTCCAGTTAAACAGTAGAAGCCAGAGCTCACCGAAATCAGAACTAGAGAACCTTAATAGTCCTCTCTACGCTCCTATTTATCCTTAGCTTTGTTGCTACCCCTATTTAAGTTAGACTGTAGTTAATCTCACACGTTTTCCTATGGATATGATACTTGGAATACTTCAGGATGAAAGCTACAGCGGTATCCGTGCGCTTGAGGATTTATCTGCGTGCATTAATAAATACCAACAACCGCCCCTGGGGTGGCGGTGCCACCGCCCTTAAGGGGCGGTGCACACCAGAAATGGCGGTGCCACCCCCCAGGTTGGGCTACGCACTGGCTGCAAGTTTAGTTGCGTTTTTCGACCCTCGGACAACCCAAACTTGCTCTTTTCATCTCCTTTTCCTCTCCAACGTGATTCAAATCACCTCCAACAACTCCTCCTTTACAAATGTGCCAACACCACTATGTGTTCACCATCTTATGCATGTGTGTTAGCTGTTCACAAATGTTTTCCAAAGGATTAGTCACTCAATTCATCATGCCACTCAATCCTAGCAATGATGCAAAGTTAGATCACTCGAGTGGCACTAGATGACCGATATGCAAATAAGTTTGTCCCTCTTAATAGTATGGTCATCTATCCTAAACTCGGTCATAAAGTCCTCTACACACCTATGACCGGTGAAATAAATGCCCTATAGGTTATACCTTTGCCTTGCGCATTCCATTCCATCTCCTTCAATATTGATGCAACACATGCACCAACCATATCACAAATGAAATGATCCACTTCATATCGTCGCGTGATCATATTGGTTCATCGATCTTGATTTCACTTGCTCTTCACCGTTGCTTCGGTCCATCAGCGCCAAGTCATCACTCAACTTGCCCTTCACACTTGCAACTGGTCCATCGAGCCAAGTCTTATCTTGATCTTCTCCACCTTAGTCATATGACTCCATGTCATGTCTCATATGCAATGAGCTCCATAATCACATGTGTGAGCTTTGTAACATATCCAAGCTATTTCGCCATCATGGCATGAGTTGCTCACACAAGTGTACCTGTGGACTAATCACCTATGTATCTCACATTTAAACATATTAGTCCACCTAGGTTGTCACTGAATTACCAAAACCAAACAAGAACCTTTCACAAGCGACGAGTAGACGACGGGGTCTTCAAGTCGGGTTGCCGCAAGATGACGGCGATGAGATCGATGCTGCCAGTGAGGGCCACAGCGTGCCAACAGGCGATGAGTAGGTTGGCGATGGTGAGTAGATCACTTGTGACGACGATGAGATCGATGCTTGTGTCAGAATTGAAATCAAAACGTAGATTAATTCTACATGCATGCGTACATGCATATGTAGATAGATCAATATCCGGCTTGAAACATGTCGTGGCCAAGTCTGACCTAACGGGCTGCCCCAGGCTGTGGATCAATATCCACTAGACTCCCCACGCCATGACATGTCGCCATGAGTCACTTCATGATGTTACCTCGATCAGCCGAGTTGCCACGAATGACATAGATCTTGAGGTATGCCATCTGGTTTACCAGGGGATTATCACACACACACCTACCTAGTGCACCAACTATCGCCTAAATATCGTTGATAGTCTGCTGAGAGGTATGCCCACGATGATAGATTGTTTGGTAGAGGTGTGCGTGAACAGGAACTAGATGGTAATAGAGACACAAGACACAAGATTTATACAGGTTCAGGCCATCAAGATGACGTAAAACCCTACGTCCTGTGCTCTGTTGGTTTGTATTGATCTAGATGACCATGTAGCTATCGACTAGGGGACCCCTGCCCCTCCTTATATACTCTAGAGGGGTAGGGTTACAAGGAAAGTATCCTAGTCGGTTATATGACAGGTATTCTATTTGGATTATAACTTCTAGAAGAGTCTTAGCAAATCATATCTTCAAGATATCTTTTAGATGCCTTGCGGTGCATGCCAACCAGTGCCATGTGTGGCAAGTCTTGATGTCGTGGGCTGGACCGTCCCTGATGGTACAACCCATGTATTGTGCCATGGGTACCCGGGGTCGTATCCCCCACAGGCACCATCTGCGTTTTGCGAAGGATTTGTTGATAGACTTGTATGATGCTATGTGGAGGTTCAAGAGGGAGACAATGCAGGGTGTTGGTGATGATATGACTGGAACATGGGCGGTATAGCATGTTGAATAGATTGACAAGATGAATTAGTTATTGCAAAGGGAGAAACTAAAGAAAGACAGAGGTGGAAGCCAAGGAGAAGAAGTTGAAAGCCTTGGAAGCAAAGATGAAGAATGGATGCACTACTTTCTCAGCTTTTGTTTGTTTTTTTTATTCTTGGCATGTTGGTAGGCATGGTGTTTAGTGGAGTTAAGATGGCATGATGGCCTCTAGATGAAAGTTAGGAATTGTTATGTGGAACCTCTGTTTTTGGTGTTTGTAAGATAATTGTTGTTCTAAGATAGATGATGACGTTGACTTGTTGTGTGCAAAATGTTTCAGAGAGTGGAAGGGTGGAGATGGAGCAGTGAGTGGAATGGTGATAATGAGCTATAGGACCGAGGAATGAAGAGGAGTGAGAGACAGATAGATGGAGATGGAGAAGAGAGTAGTGGAAAGGAAAAAATCACTAGAGAGTGCCAGGAAGAAAGAAATTTTCACTCTTCAATATTACAGAATTTTTTCAATGTAGATGTAGATATATGGTGGATGAAAGAAAGAGTGAGACAAAAGAAATTTTTGCTCTTGAATATTATGTAGGGATTACTAGTGCCCGGACGTCCGAAGCAAATGAGCGCGTCCGGACGCCCCGCGCATGTTGCTTCCCTATCCTGCTCGCCTACGCCTGCCGCTGCGTCGTATCGCTGTTGCATGTGCACGTCTGTCCCCCATCTGCCTCGCCTCGCCCTACACGTGTACCCCGCCCCGGTCCGCCTCATCCTGCCCCGCACGCGCACCCCGGCTACGCCCGTCACTCCTTCCCCTAACCCTCCTCTCTCTTCGCGCAGGCGAGACCCAAGAGCCCGGATGAGGACGAGCACGCCCTGTCTGCAGGACCCAAGCGCGTCGTGCGCCCGATCTGCCGACCCCAGACTCATCGTGCCCCTCTCCACAGCGCCCGAGCCGTGCCCATGACTCTTTGAACATACCTCTAAAACACGAAACACTTACAACATGAACACTTGAATGCAACATAAGTCTGAAGCAGATGAAATATTTGAAACATACACTTGCAACATATATATCAAATATAAGCAACATTCAGATAATACACTTGCAACATGAAAACACTTACTACAACATAAAAATGAAACAGATGAAATATTTGGAACATATTCTTGCAACATATGTGTGAAACATATGCTACATTCAGATCGAAAACGCTTGCAACATACGTCTAAAACAGATGAAACACTTTGAACAAACGCTTGTAACTTGCCTCTCAAACACTTGCAGCATATGCAACATCCTGATCTACTTTTGCAACATCCATATGAAATACTTGCAACATACCTCTGAAATATCTTAAAAAATATACGTTTGCAACATGCACTTTCAGCGCAACATCTCCTTGCTCTCAGGAATGGAGTATCGTCGGCGCGTGGAGTTCACCGGTGTAGAGCTCGTCGGTGGTGCAGAGCTCGCTGCTCCAGTGGAGAAGGCCACAGCAGTTCCCGTGGATAAGGTTGCGACGGGCCCACACGCTGGAGGAGGCCGTAGCAGGCGGGAAGCGCTATGGAGAGGGAGGAAGACGGGCTGTCGTGCTCTGGCGCGGAGGAGATGCTGGCCGACGGAGTGGAGGCGTGGTGGAGAGGGAAGCGCGGTGGAGAGTGCCATCGCAGGGGCGGTGCGGCAGAGCACAGTCGCGGTGCTGTGATGAGGTAAGTTTTTTTTCTTAGAACGGTAGGAGGCGAATGGACGAGGAGATAAAAGGTGGTCATTGAGCTACGTCGCAGCCCACCATCGGCACAGTCTAAGCGGACGGATGCCATATACCTAGAACATTACTTTATTATGTATGAGATAGAAGTAATTAATGATTTCACAATGGTAATTTCCCTTTTTTTTTCATTTGCCCCTCTCTCTTTCTTATTTTAGCGTTACTCTGCGGGAGGTTCTGTGCCCTGCTCGCTCCTCTCCTACCGGCAGTGGCGGCGCACCACCTTCTGGCGATTTGAGCTCGCTGGGCGAGGTCCCCAGATCTTGCTAATTCGACAACAAAGCAAGGCGCGCTCCCTCCATGGAAGTGGAAGAAGCAGGAGGCGAAGTGGAGAACGCCGGCAAGGACGAAGCGGAGGCGGAGTACCATTCGCACGACTTCGAGTGGGAGGACCTCAAGGAGGAGGTGGAATCCGGACCTACCTTCTCCTACCACCTCTCCCCTTTTCTCGAGCCCGCCGCGAGTACCACCTCGCTGCCGCAGCCCTCGTCGGAGGAGGCCTGGAGAAGCTTCCACCGTCGCCACGCGTCCGGGAAGTTCTTCAAGGTTGCATCTCAGCCCCCTGCGCAAGTTCCCTTTTGTTCCCACATTCCTGCTTATTCGATCAGGACTAGTAGAAACGTAAGCAAAATGTTCCATTTAGTCTGGTTTGTGCAAGAATAAGAGTTGGACCGTGGAGTTTGACACGTGATGAACTAACTAAAACTACCAAAATGTTTGGATGGGAGATGGTTGCAAGGATAAGGTAAGGCTGCGATGTGCTCTGCCGATGGAACTTAACCTCTGCTGGATGGCAGATTTTTTATGTTCTTCTGTACCATTCTCACAAAAATTCTCAAGTCAAATTCTGTGCTTGTAACCACATTGAATTGGGTCTTAGTCAGATTGCAAGATCCGATTTTCTGTGCAGCTCCCAGAATTTGCGGCATTGCCATGTCACCATAGGAAATTGGGATATAGTGCCTTTGTTGGCCTATTAACAATACCGTGCTATAGTGTGAATAGAATACCACTGTTTGCACACTATAGGTCGGCAGCCTCAGAAATAGTGTTGCAAGTATACCAGACTGACCTTATGATTATTCAGTTATCCATGTGTCCCTGATGCCATGATTTTTATTTTCCAATGTCATCTTTGACTTTTGTTCCACCTTTGTTCATCAGTAAATTAGATTCAGAAATGGCATTTCTGACTGATTATACTAAGGGGCTGTTTGGATCCTTTCATTTTGGAGGAATTGGAATCTACTTAATAGTCTAGGCTATTTGGCTTGGAATTTGACATTCCACAACTTTCCAAAGTTCACATATAAGCATATCTCAAATTTATAGGGTGGGAGATGGAAATTGATTTTATAGGTTACCATGCTATGTTTCTACTTTGTAACTTATAACACGCTCTTCAACTTGCTCCCCTACGGTAGAAATGCAACACATAAGTATCTCTCTCGTATGGCCAATAATAATATACAAATATAATCCATATACATTCATATTAGCTTAATTAATCTATGTCTAGGTTATGATTATTAAAATGAATTCAATTCCAATGATCCAAACGGGGTCTAAGCTAAAATGTATACAAAGTAAAACTAAGAATGAAAAACTGTGCATCATAGGTTGAAGATCACATCTGATATTACTTTACAGGAAAGGAGGTATTTGCTTAAGGAATTTCCTGAACTGTGTAGCAGCGAAGATCATGCCAAGGTTTTAGAAGTGGGGTGTGGGAATGGAAGCACTGCTGTTTCCATTCTACGGTAATGTCCTCACTACTATTTTGTTCAGTCGCCTAATTCATATAAGACAATGAACAGTTGTTTTCTAATTGCGAACGTAGTTTCAAGTTTTGCATATTGATGTAGACTTTCAATACTTCAAATTTTCGTCCCTAGTGTGGTGTGTTGCAGTATTACCGGGGTTCGATCTGACTTCTATGATCCTGAAGATGTAGTATTTTTCCTCTCCTGTTTTTTTCCTGAATATGTGACACTATATGTCATTATAATAATCTTTTTATAGAAATTATATATTACTAGAATCTTCCTAATGGTGACACAGTCATAATGTATGGTTTCTTCAGGTCTAGTGAAAGGATCACTGTCTTTGCTTGTGACTGTAGTAAAGACATTCTTGAGAAGGCCAATGAAATTATATCCAATACAAAAGGGAATGATATCAAGGATAGGTTCCACCCCTTTTTAATGGATGTTTCTAAAGAAACTTTCCCAGATTGGTTATTCTGCAAAGCCTGTCAAAGTTCGCTGGGGAAGACTGCTGCATTTTTACTTGGTCATTCATTTTGTTTCAAATATTCCTTCATTTGAGTTTTATTTTCACATTCCAAGTTCTGAACTCATTACATTTTTGCTTTCAGATCCAAGTCACCATGGAATTAGAAAAGAGCACCCAGTCTTCCTTAGAGAGAACCAATGTTGTGCTGGTGGCATGGATTTTATTACCATGGTAGATTAATTTTATCTGGTGCTAGTTGGTTGGTCATACTCATATCATTTGTTTGCATATAAAAAAATGATCAGGTGTACATGTATATGAATTTTTAAGCTTGATTTGCACATGTTATAGTTCTGAATGTGCTTTGAAGGGCAGCATTTCCACATTCTCAGTATAGGTACTCATCTTTTACCAGTTAATAGATGTTAGTGTTTTTATTTTTATTATTGGCAGATATTCACACTGTCAGCCATACCCTATGACATAATGCCAACTACTATAGAACAATGTGTTTCTGTTCTGAAACCAGGCGGCCTTCTTCTGTTTAGGGATTACGGTACTGGCTCACATACAATGGTATAATTTCACACTGCATACAACCAACTGCTTTCTGATAGCTTTTTTTTATATCAGGTCTTTATGACATGACAATGCTACGGTTTTTACCTCATCAAAGAGTAGGGTTTCGGGAATATATGCGATCAGATGGTACCTTTTCATACTTCTTCTCATTGGATACTGTGAGAAAACTCTTTCATGCTGCTGGGCTAGTAGAGGTAACTCTCAATTGCTTGGAATGTTTTCAGTATCTGATTGTGCTCTTTGAATTTCCACCACTTGCATCGAACCCATCTATGTTCCCCGTGATGCAAGAGTGCCAGAGCTATGTTAGTTAATATATAGCACCTAAATCAACTGTTTCTCATGCTTATTAAGAGGAGATTTGTTCTTAACTTTTTATGGATCTAATGCACTGTAGTTTTACATGCATTAATTATGAGTTATAATAAGCAGTAACAGTACATTATATATTCTGTTGTTGGTAGTGGTCTTCAATGGTTCAGCACTTCTAACGAATTCATCAACAGGATGCTATAATTATATCCTTTCATATCTTGTCAATTATTATAGAGTACTCATTACTATAATTGTTTATTTCCTGGAGTTCCCTTGCGTGTCTAATTTGTACATCATTTTGAGTCAAGCTAACAAATTAGTAAACGCTGATTTACATTTGCTCACTGCTTTGCACTTTGCAGTTGGAGCTGGAATATTGCTGTGTCAAGTCCGTGAACCGAAAGAACGGGAAGACGATGCAACGGGTATGGGTGCATGGCAAATTCCAAAAACCTAGCTGACACCAGTTAGCTGTGGAGGTAGTAGCAACATAGGCCAGGTAGTTTTGCTCGGCCACTTTGTTGTTGCAACAAAGCGCTGTAACAGTTTTGTAACCACAAACTTCAATGCCATGGAAATTCTGTTCCCCTGCTTCAACACTAGCCATTCTAGTTACCCCCTGCTTCAACACTAGCCATTCTAGTTACCAGGCCAGAGAGTCCGAGTCCCTTGCGTTGACTGCTTGACCACTCCTAGACTCTCTTCATAGCTGCATGTTAGCGTCTCAGGTGGCGAGGGACCTGTTTGGATGACGCAGTTTTGGAAAACTGGTGTATCGCAAAACTAGAAAAAAGTTTTAAAAAAAACATTGTTTTAGAGCTACAAAATTTGTTGTATTCAAACACCTAGTAGCCTTTGAAAACCTTAAGTACTCTCTCTATGCTCAATAATAAGTCATTCCAACTTTCTAGAGAGTTAAAACATCTCACGTTTAACCAAATTTATATAATATAAATAGTAACATTTATGATGTCAACTATCATTAGATTCTTTATTAATTATATTTCATAGTATACCTATTTGATGTCATAAATCTTTGTAATTCTCTTTATAATTTTGGTCCAACTTAAGATGCTTTGAGTCTCTAAAAAAAGTTAGAATGACTTATAATTTTAAATGAAATATTCTGTAAGACCATAGAATTTCTCCAATACTTCATAAATGGGTGTTACCCTGGACGTCCGGATAGACATTCTCGTCCGGACGCCCGCGGCTGCTTGTTTCCCGCGTGTAGCGAGCGAACAGCGGGACCTTAGCCTACTTCGGGGCCACCACCTCCGCGGGCGTTTGCGTGCTCATCGGGTAGAGTTTCCCGTCGAGCTTGAACTACCGCGGCGAGATGGAGGGAAGGAAAGGGAGGGGAGGGAGAGGAGAGGACGAGGCGCACTGCGCGAGGAAGGCGCGAGGTAGGAGCCGAAGCCCTGCAACAGGCCGTTGTCCACCGGCCGCCAGTGCCATTGTACCCAATCTACTTTTGAAACATCCAGATGAAGCATTTGCAACATACATCTGAAGACAAATGAAACATTTGAAATATGCATCTAAAATACTTGCAAAAACACACATGAAACAGTTGAAAACCTTTGCAACACGTACGCAACATCCAGATAAAATATTTGCAACATATGCGTTGAAACATATGCAACTTCCGGATAAACACACTTGCACAATACGTCTGAAAAATAGATAAAACATTGGGGACAGACGTTTGCAACATAACTGTATAACCATTGCAACATATGCAACATCCTGATCTACTTTTGCAACATCCATACGAACCCTTGCAACATACCTCTAAAACAATTGAAACATTCGAAACATACGCTTGCAACACGTGCTTTCAGCGCAATGTCACATTGCTGCTTAGACAAACGAAGCTCATCCTTGTGGAGCTCGACGCTGGCGCGAAGCTCGATGCCACGAAGTGCTCAAAGGTCACTGGTGCGGAGCTCAGTGGCGGCACGAGCCTTGGCAGTGGGCGCGACAAGTGGATGGAGCACGAGCACGGCGAGAGGCGCGAGGGGTGGGCGGCGTAGGCAGAGTCCGTCCCGCGAGCGAGGGCGACGCTGGCACGCTAAGTTCGTCCCGCAATGGTGGGCGACACGGGCAAGGGCGGCACAGGTAGAGTCCGTCCGAGCGAGAGCGGCGTGGGCGAGCAAAGTCATCCCACGAGCGGGGGCGCGCAGTGCAAAGCGGGCATGTGACGCGGGCTGAGTCTGTGATGAGTGGGTGAGGATGGGTCCATGAATGGGTGGATGGATGAGCCTCTTCCGGACGGGAGTCACGGCACATGTACTTTGCATCTTCATAAATACTTTGCATCCATTGCCCTTTGAGTTTCCAGTGTCCACGCGCAAGGCCGCCGGCACGCGTGCAAGACTTCAGAAGCTCACTGGATTTTCCCTTTATGTTTTGATTCCATGTAGGCATGCAATTTACTCATTTTCGAAACATGCTTGAAGATCCAGCGGAACTTTTGCATCACAGCAGTTCCTCAGTTCCAAACTGAAGAGGGGTCGGCATTGCATTGATTTTGCACAACTTAACCGTAACAATTCAATGCCCATGAACACAAGCTTGTAACGTCCAGCTTGGAATGCAGTAGTCCAGCTCGGGAATGCAGTAATTAAGTTCTGACGATCAATAACCTTCCACTTATTGGACCAACAATACTCCGTAAGTCCCATCGAAAGCAGTCATCACAAGTGAAGATAAAATAGCAGGCGACCAAGAGGTCCAGCTAACATATTACTCATAGTAGATTCATGCAGTAACACGTCATCTCGTAAAAATGGATGATTTGTGCTACTCGCACTGATGCCCAAGCAACACTTCCCAAAATGGATCAAGCGCGAGCACCCCATAATAACCTACCTAAACTACAGGCTAACAGGACCGTGGACCGAATATACAGGCCAGACTGACTAATAATACCAAAAGAGTCGCATCAACTAACTCTACCTCTAGCTTCCAACTCTACTTGCCTAGTCTCCCAGTCACCTCTTGTGATGGAAACGCACCTTCAGCAAGAACTGCATCTTCACCTGATGACACACACGGTTTCACAAAAGGTCAGTGCCCATCTCCTATGAACCGCAACACTGCAAGAGCAAAGGCATGGGGTAAAGAACATTTCTGGACCTGGGATGTGTTGTAGACGATGTACTCATTGTACATGAGTTCAGAGTTCCTAATTGCTGATGGCACTGGCTTGCCACAGGGAACGACGACATCATCCCTCCACTTCACAAACTCTGACTCCAGTGGCACAGTTTTGCCTAAGCCTTTGGTCGAATGCTTCCCCCTTGGAGGTTTGTCCATGTACTGCAGCAACAAGCATCAATTGCAAACTGTCACGAGATCATAAACATGGAAAATAAAACAAAAAATGGTGACACTTGAATTATGAGTGAACCATGTTAAATCTTCTCTCAACATCATATCAAGTGTACGGAGATAATAGCATTAATGGTGTGCTTACTAGCCCCATAGGATAAAACAACCCTAAACTAAAGGCTTCTCACGACGTCATATCGAGTGTAGCATCAATGGTTTGCTTACTAGCCCCATTGGATAAAACAACCCTAAACTAAAGGTGCAGAGTAATAGTTAAGTGTTGCCTGTCAGAAGACTGCAAGGTGTGACTTAAGATTGCAGGGTAGACCAAAGTGCCCCTTCTAAATCTTTTTGTTATAACTGTTTATCACTGGTGCAACAGAGCAATATGTGAACAGATTTAGAGCATTAGAGTATTGAGATATCTATGGTAAATTCATTTTAACAGGATCCTGTAAGAACCCAAAAAAAACATGGCATGATAGATAAAATGCAAGGATAAAAGCCAATATGAGAAATTAGTTTTGCTTTCACCAAGATATTTGAAGCTTACCGTGGCTTTCTTTAGTTCATTCATGTCTCCTAAAGCAACCTCAGAAAGAAGCATCAAACCTACAGGATTATTCCTATCCACATTACAGTATTGTGCGCTCTTGCTTACTAAATCTGCAAAGTAGAGGCCTTTGCCAAACTGTCAAAGAAATGAGGAGCATCATCACATAATTGTATTCAACCAACATTTTCACTGATGCTACACTTGAAACATATAGTGAATAACGAGCGAACCATATAGCCTGAAACAGGTGCCTCAGGAGGTGCAATTCTTAGTCCTTGACTAAGGATTCCCACAAAATTCGTCAACCTTGAACCTACAAATCGAGTTTTACAGTGAGACGGTGCGAAGGGAAAAACTTCTTATGCAGAAATGTTCAAGACCTTAAATGCTACCAAATGAACTGTACACCTGCGAACTATATTTTCACCAACAAGTAATACAATTAGACTTAGACCATTGCAATGATTATACACTGAAGGCTACAACTAACTTACTTTTCTTTATTGATTGAAGTTATTGCTTTAATGCTTACCATGCCATATTAGCATCTTGTTATGCAAATTATTTTTATATCTTGAGTACTTATTAAGTTCTCCATCTCGATCAAGTGAAAAAACTTCCTCCAGTTCCAGCGACCAGTCCTACAAATCCAAAAAGATATAAAAAAAAAGTTTGGCAAAGGACCTAAAAACAGGAAAGAAAACAGCTACATATTTCTACATATACAAACAAAAAAACAGACCATACCTTGTGAGTAGGAGCATGTGTGTTGAGGAGATACTGCTCAACTAGCTTGTAATCTTCACTATCACGAGCCAGCGGGGTGATGTTACAGTGAAGTTTCATATATTTATCATCAAGAGATTCATCGTTGTCACTATCGAAGCCAACTAGCTTTGAAGCAATTTCAATATCCTGCAGAGCTTCAAGCATTTTTGCCTGTACATAAATTACAGGCAGGTTAGGTCTAAGAAAGCTCTTTGATCATATTCAAGGAAAATAATTAAAACCGGAGGACTGGGGATAGAGAAGCATGAACAACACAAAATAGACAGAATAATAAATTAATAATCATAAATAGATCAAGGTTACAAGGAAGAGGCATTATGTCATGAACAAAGAAATAACAAATGTCCTTGCTGAGTTGCTGTATTGTAATTCTGTACAGCCCTAGCAAGTGCACACCAGAGAAAAAGATGAGCAAAATTCAAGACACATTTAGAATTTGCACAAGTAGCTGCTGTATGAACATGTTTAGTTCACCTGTGGCACCATTTCCACGAGGTAATGCAGGACCTACTCTGTATTCTTTTGATTCTGTTCAAGCTTTCAGTAGCATGTCTAATAGTGGAGCTATCATTACATGTCAAGAAGGATCAAGAGTTGAAGACAACACAGAGCAATGAACTACTAATTGAAGCATTATAGCCGGACTTTTTCACAGAGGAATTATAGGTAAAATCATCTACTCCATGTGAAGAGGTTAACATGAATTAAGAAATATAAGAGGAATCATCGGATGCTTCTCCCAATTTACAGGAATATGACTAGGTTATGAGCACATACTTTGATCATCAAATCATCCTCATCACGTATAATATGAGGATGAATAGAAGGAATAAGAGTGAAAAGGCGATTGCTCGCAGCAACAATTAAGCTTTCTCTAACAGCCAGTGCTTGATTAGCGGTGTCCTTCAATAAATTATGTATCTCAGTTAATGCTTCAAATCCTGCAAGTAGTGCTGGTGTAACCATCTTCATATAATAATAAATTTGAAAAAGTGAAAACAAATAGTTCCACAAGGAACGATATCAGCGCACCTTTCTGAATATTTTCCTTGCTTAGCTTCCCAAGAGGCATTTCTGACATATTAATTTCAAATTCCATCATAGCAGCTCTGGGGAAAAAAAAGGTTTACTTCAATAGAAGAAAAGGAGCCAAAAAAATGTGGGCAAGCACGGCATTGAAAAAAGAAGCAAGTATGCACCTATATGTCTCCACGTTGAAAAGCATCTTCATGAGTTCTAGCAACTGAGGAGCAAGAGAACTTTTCATTTCACTGATATCTTTCTGTTTTGGTGCTTGCTTAACACCATAATCCTGCATTATATGTAATAACAAGTTAGAATCCACAAAATTAGGGCAAAACATGTCGCTAACCAGATTGTTTTTTGCCAACATACAATATCAAGTGGGTAAAATCTCCCAGGCTGCTTCCAGAAATTGGTTTTACGTTCCCAAGCTTCCCACGGATTTCCAGTCTTCTCAAGAAATAATCTTTTGAATTCCTTGATTGCATCTGTTTTTGAAATCTCCAGCTTTTGCCCTCCAATTTTTTCACTCCCAGCCCGTCCCCACTTTCGAAATACATAGCACTCAGACCCATCATCCTCTTCAATGACCTGGAGGATATAGTAGTTTCACAAAAGGAAAAAGAAAGAAGGGCGGGCCTGGTGCAAGCGGTAGAGTCTTGCCGCCTGTGACCGGAAGGTCCCGGGTTCGAGTCGCGGTCTCCTTGCATTGCACAGGTGAGGATAAGGCTTGCCACTGACACTCTTCCCCAGACCCCGCACAGAGCGGGAGCTCTCTGCACTAGGTACGCCCTTTTTACAAAAGGAAAAAGAAAGAACTATTAAGAAAGGGGCCAGGGCAATAACAACAGAGTGGAATAACATAACATATAAGCTAGCACATAGTAAAACTATAGCATCAGACTCCAAAAGAAATTATAGCATCAAGCTGAGCTCTTCTTCCTTTCACTACTGTATTACACTTTTTAGCATTAATCAATCTCAGACAGGACAAAGAAAAAAATATGCCAATTTCAAACCTTCTGGGTAGCGATCTGACAGGAAACAAGACAACTTTAACAGATGTTTACTGCCTGTAGACATACTATGCCCATCACGTAAAAGTATTGTGAACAGATAAACATGCATCTATATTGATTAATTGTTGAAGAGATTGGTTACAAAGTATATATAGAAAAGGAGGCTAAGCTAGGGATTAAAGGGGGGAAGAACCAAGGCAGCACGCCGAGGGAGAACGCAGGAGGCATGCTGACCATGTATTGGGAGAAGAGTACAAATCTCTAATAAGTATCAATTGGTAGAACTACTACACCATGTTGGGTTTATCACTAGCCAGCGAAACTACGGTTTGTGCAGAGAGAGCAAGGGGAAGAAAGATGAACGACTCGGAGTATGTCTCTAACATGAAAGTGACACCATGTGGAAAACCAGGTTAGGTTGTCTTCAGGAGGTAAGGTGTACTGTTGCTCGGCAGGTGCACAAATAGACAGTTTAGATGTTCAGGATGAAATTTGGGCTCCAAACACGATTGAGGGGGTCAGGAACTTGCTACAACAAAAATCCTTTTAGTCCCAAACAAGGTAGGGTAGACCTGACTAATAACTTATTTCAAAAGGAAAAACTACAATGATGATTTTTCTTTTTGGTAGCAAATAGGGACTCCAAATATCTAATCAAAGTTGGTAAGTTGCACTAAAAATGCAGAATTGTAACTGTCAGAAAAAAACTCAGGTAAAGCCAGTAGTTCGGGGACTAACTGTTAGAGCCTAAGTGGTGTGTCCCCCATGTTGCACTGCATCTACCATATGCGTGTTCAAGACCCCAAATGCTGAAAAAAGATAAGATGGTTTCCAAGTCCCCAAAAGGTAAATTAAACAAAGACTACCAGACTACCAATCCAACATTAATGGCCTCTTGATTAGTAAGGACAAGACAGATGCTTACTTTGCATATACATTCCTGTTCTGCTTATAACACTAAAGGTCAGGAAAATCCAAAAATAAATGACAGATAGGTCGCAATACAGACATATAGGGGCCAAATCCACCAAAATTAACAGGAAGTAGCAACAAGGATATAGATTGGGTTATTGCAATCAGATAGACTTGGTGTGGGTAAATGATAGAAAGAAACTTGATGGAGGTTTCATAAAGATTGCACACAATACTATGAACTCTTTTAAACTACTCCAACTAAAAAACAAGTTTTGAATATCAGAAGAAAATATTGCGAAGAAAATTCCTAACCTGTTCACACCTAGTGCCAGGTCAGACATGTTTAAGGTTGTATCGTAAATACTTTTCTCATCTTCAAGAATATGAGCAGTATCTTGCAAACCGGAGGACTCATGAACAGCACTTCGGCCCTTAACTTTAACAGTGACAGTACTGCCTTTTGAGGACTCTAAGGTGTTCTCTAGTTTATACAAATCAAATGGAAGCATTCTATTCTTTTTAATGCATTCTCCAATGTAATCCTCCCTTACGATTGGTATCTTCAGCCTCCTGCAAGCAATTGCAGTATATATGTCATGGCATTCGAACTCCAATAATAGCTAACAAAAACAATATAAACTACATTGAATATGGACAGTAAAAAAAAAGAGAGACCTTGCTTTCCTGACTTCAGCATTCTCATTGTTGAGCTCACCACATGAAATTAAACAATCAATATCTGCAATGCAAATACCACAGAAATATCCCTATAAGCATATAATGAAACATCATTTCTCTCTAAACACAGTACCATATATTTGTTCTCCTTTACTTTTTCAGAAATTGCAAATACCACCCTAGAAATCACTTCAAATTGCAAAAGACCACCCGACAAGTTTATTAGTTAAATTTACCACCTGACAACTCAAAACCTCAGTGTTCATCATTTACAAAAGAGAAAACGAAAAAGTCAAATCTTGGTACAGAATCCCCACTTTCTTTGGGTGTTTATGCCAATGCATGTTGGTACCTTGGGTGCTCCATGTAGTTGCTGGTGTTGGAGGAAGAGGAGGCTGATTTTTTTTTCTCAAACGCACAGGAGAGTTGCGCATGATTATATTGAGGAGGGCTGAGGGTTCAAGGATGCCACAAGGTCCCCTTAGACCTCTCAATTGTGACTTGGTCTGGCTCCTCAAATGTGGAGACAACAACTATGCATCCAGAGACCAGAATCACATTGCTAGAAAGATGTCATCATGGCATAAAACAGGCTAGAAAACAGAAGCTGGGTATTCACTTAACATATACTCCCCCCATTCTAAATTATAGTTCACTTTAGATTTATTTTAAGTCAAACTTTTCTAATTTTGACCAAGTTTATAGAAAAATGCACCAACATCTACAACACCAAACTAGTAATGTTACATTTCTCCATGAAACGTCTTGATACTGCATTCATTTGAACTTGTAGATGTTATATATTTCCTAAACATTTGATCAAAGCTAAAGTTTGACTTAGGACAAAGCTCAAGTGAATGTTAGAAATGATTGTATATTCAAGCAAGTCACACCCTGTGTAGAAGCTTGTAAACCTAAGTTTAAACATGAATTCTCAGTGCTTTTTGCATCGTGCAAAGAAGAGTTACTTTCCTAGCATCAGTGGCTGGCTAGACAGCTTATTGTACATTTCGATTTTTTTTTTTCCTGTTTTTTCTTATCTTCTTGGACAGTTTTTTTTTGTACTTGTTTAATATATATCCAGTAGAGGCAAAGCCCTCCTGCTTCCTCAAAAGAAAATGGAACAGGAGTATTAATTTTTAATTTATTAATCCAATTTTAAGTCTATAGGCATAAAAACAGGCTGCTAATGAACACAAGAACTAATCTGTTTTGATTCTAGCACTGAATGTAGATCTACCACAGGATAAAGGAGGGGGGGGAGGAAAAATAATAGAGAAAAGACAACATGCGCTGGCCTGCTAGCCCACCCAGCCAATCTTTAAGATACCCTAAACAATCCTGTACAGCTCACACATGCAGCACCAACCACCACCACCGCTCTTTCTTCTGCATCGCCATCGCTGACCTTTCTTCTTTCCCCATACAGCCTCTTCACTGGCATGGATCGTGCAGCTGTAGCTAAACGGGCTTCTCTGATGATGTGTGGCATGTGCCAACACAAGATACTTGTCGACGTGGAAAAAGAAAACATTTGGGCACACAAATCCATGTATGCTGCTGTGTTTATAATTGTGGGGTAGTAAATGCAACTAATAAACTTGTAAGATATATTAGAACTTGAAGTGACTTCTTGGGGGGTATTTGCAATCCTTTTTGCTATACTCTAAGAAACAATGACTTGACTAAATCACCCATGTCTGTTTAATAAAGCAATCTCCTAGGCTCCAGCGGCAAATCTAACAAGAAACTCATATGCCTGAGGTACAAGAGAAGTCAGTTCTAGACTGAAAGGGAATAGAAATAAACCTTTGACAACGCTGGCATAGAAGTTGGCACCAGCAAGTTTGAGTGAGCTTCTCAATCCATTCATTCTGAAATGGATAAATAAGAAATATCAAAATCATGATGCAATAAATATATGAAAACCTACTATCCTGTACAATGTGACCCTATCCTAACAATAAACAACCTAAATAATCATGATTATGGTTTTTATTTAATTATTGTGGCTGCTGCAAACCAAAACTTGCAGCGTGGTCATGGTAAGACGGGTGCGGCTTCAATTGATGCAACTCATAGAAAGACAACTTATTGGCATGGGTTCATTTGGAGAAGACATGTATGTCTTTCTTACATCAGAATCTGATCGATACAGTTAACAAAGCACCAACTTTCTATAGGACAAAAAAAAAAGCAAATAAAAATAACTGAAGGTATTAAGGATAGTTGCACCAAAAAATAAAAGTTGATAAAGATTTACTTACTGCCACTTCTTTTGATTGTCCTACAACAGAAAACCTTAATTTATCCAACCCTTTAGAAGACAGCAACGAAGCTCTCTGAGTTGCTTTACTTCCAGATTTCTCAGGTGACATTGGTGGAAGAACCCTCTCTGGTTTCTTAACCTTTTGAGACTTGAACCACTGCAAGGTATACCTATTTGTCAACCATTAACTGCAGCACACAAGCATCAAGGCCAAGCTACCTTTCATTAAGCATATTTCATAAGGTAATCATTCTTTGTTCCATCTGGAACTTGCCACTTCTTCTTAACGCGGACTGGTTCTGTGGTAGAGTATGTA